GTAGCTGGGATTACAGGCACGCACCACCATGCCCAGCTAATTTTTTTTGTATTTTTAGTAGAGACGGGGTTTCACCATGTTGACCAGGATGGTCTCGATCTCTTGACCTCGTGCTCCACCCGCCTCGGCCTCCCAAAGTGCTGGGATTACAGGCTTGAGCCACCGCGCCCGGCCACTTGGTACTTTTTCTTAAAGCCTATTAAAATACTATGTGGCCCACACAAATACACTAGTAGATGAGCACAATAATACACATGTTCATTATATCATATATGTATATATAAAGGTAATTTTTATATAAACATTATAGTTTTTATTAGGTGAATATAGTGGCCAAGGATTTTCTTTAGATGACACAATGTTTTAAAGAAATTTAAATGCATTTAAGTGAGTTATATACATTCTATTTTACCCCAGACCTCATCACCCCCTCATCTCACAATAACCTGGTTTTCTCTTTTGCCTGTCTAGTATGGCCTCTGAAGTTGACTTTGCAACAGCTAAAAATAAGATAAAATAATTTGAGAAGTAATTCTTAAGGAAGAAAATAATTAGTTTGGGAAGGAAACTAGATATATAATTACTGACTTGGATCCTTTAAAAATTCTTAAAGTTTAGCAATACTACAGAGAAACAAAACACTGATATGTTTCCTCCATATAAATGACCATAACTTACAGTATTACTCTCCTATGTTGTAAAAGAAGGGCTCAGATTTTTGTCTTTTTCTTCTTTCTTTTTGAGATACAGTTTTGCTCTTGCTGCCTAGGCTGGCATGCAATGGCATGACCTTGGCTCACTGCAACCTCTGTCTCCCAGGTTCAAGTGATTCTGCTGCCTCAGCCTCCCAAGTAACTGGGTGCCACTACGCCCAGCTAATTTTTTTTGTATTTTTAATAGAGATAGGGTTTCACCACTTTGGCCAGGCTGGTCTCAAACTCCTGACCTCAGGTGAGCCGCCTGCCCTGACCTCCCAAAGTGCTGGGATCATAGGCGTGAGCCACAGCACCTGGCCTGGATTTTTGTCCTTACAAAGCCATGTTCAAAGCAAAGGTAATGCTCAAGCAATAAACGTTGCATGTTCAGTGTCCAGAGGGCAACAGGTACTTTAAAATTATGTTATCTAATAATGGCTAATAATATAGCCAGGATCAATAAGCATGTAGTTGATTTAAATATGTAATAAAAAACCATGAGGATATCAAGAGAAAGAGAGTAAGATCTTTTATTACATAATGATTTATAACACTGAAATACTTTTACCAAATATAAAGAAATTTAAATCCAAGTTTTAAAATGTGTCAAAAATCAGCAAAGTTATTAATGCTCAAATCAAGAGATGGCAGTTTTTTCCCCATGTGAATTTAAAAATATTGCTTTTACGAAGTTAACTGCCAATGAGTTAACTCAAGAAAATAAGTAATTCAATAGCCCAGGAACCACTTCATATAATAATTTTAAGAACTTCTAGTGTGGGGGGAAAAAATCAAAACCAAAACCATTTATGCCAGACTGGCTCTATGCTTTGCCCGTGCCCTGTAATCATAATGTCCTCTCTTCACATGAAAACTTCATTCCAGTATTCTTATTTTTAAAGACAGAATATTGCTGTTGTCCAGGCTGGAGTGCAATGACACAGTCTCGGCTCACTGCAAACTGTCTCTCGAGTTCAAGCGATTCTCCTGCCTCAGAATCCTAAGTAGCTGGGATTACAGGCACCTGCCACCACACCTGGCTAATTTTTGTATTTTTCGTAGAGATCAGGTTTCACCACGTTGGCCAGGCTGGTCTCAAACTCCTGACCTCAGCTGATCCGCCCACCTCAGCTTCCCAAAGTGCTAGCGCCTGGCCTCATTCCAGTATTTACGATCCTACAGAAGTCAGGTAACACTTCTGTATAGAATACATGTAAAAACAATACCTTAAAAAGGCACTAATTTAAAATCAAAGTTGCTCCCCAATACAAGTAAACAAAATCAACTCATCAATTGCAAATTAGGTTGTACCCAACATTTGATAAATTCTTTATGATTAAGAACATATTTTTATAGATAAAATTTAGGTGTATTTTATTTAAGTTAGTTTCATAAGAAACTATGACCATAAAATTGTAAGTTTTGGTACAGTTATCAGTATAAAAAACAAGATATTAATGAATAAAGAATTCTACTTATAGACAAACACCCTGAGGGGAAATTTCTTTGCCAAAAAAAAAAAAAAAAAACAAATAAAAGATGAGGCTATTAACAAAGTTTTGAACTTATCTGATGTTTCTGTGAAAATTAAAATTGATCATCTCTTACAATAAGCCACCCCTCATAATTATTTTTGAAAACAGCCATGCTGCTAGTCACCTTGGAGTAAAACTGCATATGCTAGAAAATGCCTCCAATTAGAAGAATGTGCCTTTATGACTTTTGTATGGGGCTCTCAATTGCTATCACGGTTTGCTTTCTCTGTTCATGGCATTTTCACAGCAATTTCTCTCCTGGTCAAGGTCTGGGACTGTTGCATCTTCTAAGAGTTTTGGAGTGCGAGAGGATTATAAGAATTGGAGGTAGGGGTCCACTAGACCATGCTGAGGAGACTTCTTCCCTTTGTTTAGTCATTACATTTATACATGTAAAGAATAACTATGTACCCAGTAAAACGCCAGAGAGCCAGCAAAGTGGTTAAGGACATAAGTCACATTCATGATCATAATTTCAAGAAGTTTCCGATTTTAGTTAGTATATATTGCCTACTATTATAAGTAATTGTATATCTATCTACACAACTAGATTGTGAATTTTCTGACTTTAGGCACATGTCTTTGGATTAAGTTCAAACATTTACTGATGGTTATCATAAATCAAGATTGCTCAAAAGCAATGTGGATTAAAATGAGAACACATGGTACCTTCTATTTTTGCATCTCTGAGTTTGGCAGGGGGTATAGAAAGGTGAAAGAAGGCAACATAACACAATGTGTTGTAAAATATATGAAAGAATACAAGAGTAGCAAGTAAGGGAATGAATGGTTCTGCTTGAGATAGAACTGGCAATAGTAGTATTAGGCAGCTTCAAAACGTAAATAGTAAACATCCCTGCAGCTAAAGCAAACAGCGGAAGCCTGAGACAGACAAAGGCAGGCTGGGATTAGGAAAGGACTTTGTAATAGCATGCTAAAGAATTGAAACTTGATACTGTGGCTACATGTGAAGTTTGAGACAGCTAAAGAGAATTAGATCAGATGTGTATGTTTAAATTTTCTCAGCCAAGAATAAGTTTGATGGATTGGAAGGAAAAAGGAAGCTATTATAACAGTCCACCCGTGAAGGTAAGAAGGAGGGAGAAAGAGACAGAAAGGCAGAGTGACTGATAGGAGGAGAGGGAAGGAGAGAGAACCACTGCACCTGGCTTACTCATAATTTTACCACTAACGACTGGCATTTAGTTTAGACACTCATGTGAATGAAAATGTTATCTGTGCAAATGAATTGTGTAGAGAGTTTTCTTGTTTCACATTCATTGAGTATGAGACCTAAGACTTATGATACTATAAATGCAAGAGGAGTCAGAGAAAGAGAGAAAATAAGAATAGCTGAGAATGTCCGTTCGTTCTTTCTTTTTTTTGAGACTGAGTCTCGCTCTGTCATTCAGGCTGGAGTGCAATGGCGCGATATTGGCTCGCTGTAGCCTCCACCTCCTGGGTTCAAGCAATTCTCCTGCCTCAGTCTCCCGAGTAGCTGGGATTAGAGGAGCGCACCACCAGGCCCAGCTAATTTTTGTATTTTTAGTAGAGATGGGGTTTCACCATATCAGTTAGGCTGGTCTCGAACTCCTGACCTTGTGATCCACTGGCCTTGGCCTCCCAAAGTGCTAGGATTACAGGCGTGAGCCACTGCACCCAGCCAAGTATGTTCCTAAGACACAGGTAGGGCCAGGTGCAGTGGCTCACTCCTGTAATACCAGCACTTTGAGAGGCCAAGGCTGGCAGATTACCTTTGAGATCAGGAGTTCAAGACCAGTCCGGCCAACATGGTGAAACCCCGACTCTACTAAAAATATAAAATTAGCTGGGTATGCTGTTAAGCACCTGTAATCTCAGCTACTCAGGAGGCTGAGGTAGGAGAATCAGTTGAACCCAGGAGGCAGAGGTTGCAGTGCGCCACTGCACTCCAGCCTGGGCAAAAAGAGTGAGAATGTCTCAAAACACAGAAAAAGAAAAAGACACAGGTGGTTATGGCCCATGACTTGCTGGCATTCACCTTATCCCTTGTCCGAATATATTAATCTGAAAATGAATGATTACACATTTGAAAATGGCACAAATTCTAGTAAACAGACTTCCTGCCATTTTAGTGGGATGGGAAACTGATATGGTTTGGCTCTGTGTTCCCACCCAAATCGCATGTTGAATTGTAATCCCCAATACTGGGAGAAGGACCTCATGGGAGGTGATTGGATCATGGGGGCAGATTTCTCCCTTGCTGTTCTCATGCAAGTGAGGTCTCATGAGATCTGGTTGTCTGAAAGTGTATAGCACTTCCCCCTTTGCTCTCTCTCCTGTTGCCACATGAAGATGTGCTTGCTTCCCCTTCACATTTTGTCCTGATTTTACATTTTCTGAGGCCTCCCCAGCCATGCCTGCTGTACAGCCTGTGGAACTGTGAGTCAATTAAACCTCTTTTCTTTAGAAAATACCCAGTCTAACGTAGTTTTTTATGGCAATGTGAGAATGGACTAATACAGAGACAAATACAATTTGTTATTAATTTGAAAAATAAGGTCATACCTTATTTTTGCAGGAGCTATTAACTTTCTTAGCTAGCAACTCTACTTTTCAACACACATTAGCAATGTGTACAGAAAGTGTCCAAATTGTCAAAATATGCCAGTAAAAGATGACTAACTTTACCCGAAGCCCCTCAGACCCATGTAACTTGTACATAGTTCTAAATGGTGGGTTGGGATAGTTTCCTAGCATATAACAGATTGGTCTCACAAATACTGACATTTAAAAGTGGGGAAAGGTATAATAACTAAATTTGATCTTTGTGGTTTCCCTATACTGTGCATTGTATGTGACAGTTCATATTATTGATGGGTATTCTCAGGTTTCAAGAACCCCTGTGGGAATTCCTTAAAAATTCTGTTCAGGCGCAGTGGCTCCTGCCTGTAATCCCAGCACTTTGGGAGGGCCAGGCAGAGTTTTAGACCAGACTGGGCAACACAGGGAAACCTTGCCTCTATAAAAAATAGTAATAATAATAAATTAGTCAGGCATGGTAATACATACCTGTAGTCTTAGTCCCAGCTACTCAGGAGGCTAAGGTGGGAGGATGGCTTGAGCCTGGGATATTGAGGCCACAGTGAGCTATAATCACCGCTGCACTCCAGCCTGGGTGACAGAATAAGACTATGTCTCAAAAAAAAAAAAAGTTTTAATAATTACCTAACACTCCTCCATTTTGCGTGTATGGGGGGGTACTCATTTTTTTCAATAGCAAAGGACTTTTGTGAAATAATGTTACTTTGGACACAAGCAGCTTTGTTTCCCCTTCATGATGCTGTCTATAACCCCTCTTCTGGCCTTCTTCATAGGCACCCCTTCTCACACCAACTCTGAAACTCCATCACGAGTCCTCATACTCCTCAGCTCTTAAATCCCTTTCTCCTCTCCTCGATCCCTACCACCTCAAAAATGAGGCTCCGTTTGAAAGCAGCAGGAGGAGTCCTCTGAAGTGGGCAGATCCCTATCATGGAAAGAGAGGTGTGAAGACAGCACCTTGCAAGCTCCACTCTGGGGAGTTAAGCACTGCAAGGAGTACATCAGAAGTGGCAGTTCTGAGGCCAGGTCTGGACGGGAGCACGAACATGAAGGAAGCAGCGATTCCAGTCCTGACATTTTTTTGTATAAAATTTTAAATTTATAATATATTAAATAGCCTGATTATTTTTAATGTGAAATACCAGAACAACTTACTAAGGTAAATGCATAGAACATTTGTAAGCCATACTCACCCACTTTAATTCAGCTAGAGCCCTCTTTGTTCCTACATAGACATCTGTTGAATTTTTAAAATCTCAGCTGTTGTTTATCATTTACTCACTTTCTGAGTTTTTTAAACTTGCATTTTATCTTTCTTATTATATTCAATATAACAAAGGGAATGGGGAACACAAAGGCAATATTCAATGTAATATAACTGACAGTTCAACAGCAGCTTCTGAATAATACCTAAGTAGTAGCAGGGGAGCTATAAGAAGTCCCATATCATGAAAGAACAGTGGAAAGGAGAATAAAAAGGTGGGCATGGGTCAAATCCTGACAGGGCACACTTCTAAAGCCTGTGATAAAATACCCAGACTTTGTCCTAACGGTGCTAAAAGCCAATAAAGGGTTTCCAGCGAGAACAACCTATGTCTTATAAAGGTGTTTATGGATGATGAATATTAGAAGGGAAAAAACCAGAGGGAAGACACCTGGAATAAGGTGAACAAAATACAAACCAGAAGCATTGTTAGTCAAGAACTTTTACTCTAAGTGACAGAAAAATATCCCAAGCTGGCTTAAGCAAAAATTGTTTTATAAACTAACAAAATTATGTAAGAAAACGAGATTGCCTAGAGAGTACACAGTCTGAGAAAAGAGGTATCATAAAGTTAGATATTTTATCCCTAACTCCCCACAAGGTGAATTTTCTAGAACCTTAAAACAAATCTCCCAGCACCGTATTTTTTTTTCTGCCTATGTTTCAGAGGAACAGCACCTTATTTCAAAGATTAATTTGCTAAGACAATTGCGTAACTCATATTCATTCATTTAATGAAGGTTTAATAGGAACCAAGCAAGCTCTGTGCTGATAGCTGTTAGATATATATACCGGTAGGAAAAGGAAAAAACAAAAACCCTAACATCCCGTGCTTTCACAGACCTTATAATCTAGAGGAGGAAAGAAGATTTTTTAAAAAATTAATTATTATACTTTAAGTTCTGGGGTACATGTGCAGAACATGCAGGTTTGTTACACAGGCATACATGTGCTGTGGTGGTTTGCTGTACCCATCAACCCGTCATCTACATTAGGTATTTCTCCTAATCCTATCCCTCCTCCCACCCCCCGACAGGTCCCAGTGTGTGATGTTCCCCTCCCTGTGTCCATGTGGAGAGAATATTTTCTTAAAAGCCTGTGAAAAATTCTGAAAACTTTCTGAATCTCAGTTTTCTTCATTATAAAACAAACAGAAAAACAAAAACAGAGAAAGTTCTAGGAGATTTAAGGTTCTAGAAAGTTCACTTTGGGGCTGAGCACAGTGGCTCACGCCTGTATTACCAGCACTTTGGGAGGCCGACGTGTGAGGATCACTTGAGGCCAGAAGTTTGAGACCAGCCTGGCCAAAATGGTGAAACCTAGTCTCTACTACAAGTACAAAAATCAGTTGGGCATAGTGGCGCATGCTTGTAATTCCAGCTACTAGAAGGCTGAGGCCCGAGAATCACTTGAACCTGGAAGGTGCAAGTTGCAGTGGGAGGAAATCATGCCACTGCATTCCAGTGTGAGTAAGAGAGTGAGACTCTGTCTAAAAAAAAAGAAAAGAAAAGAAAAGAAAAAAGTTCACTTTAGGAGGAACTATGGCATAAGGTATCTAACTTCCCTTCATAATCTCTCTTTTTTCAGGCAAGGCAATGCACCCTAAGGCAATCTCATTTGTATTTATGTATATACGTATTTTCATAGACTCTTGTGAGGATAAAATAAAGTCTTAATTTAAAAACCATCAAGTCTCTATGAATAATCTGAGAAGATTATTTGGTGTGGTCATCTTTACTTGTTTGTATCTCCTACAAAAGGTAAACATTTTAATAGTGGTATAATGAAAAGTGCACCTTGATGTGTGTTCTGGTACAACAGATACATTTTGTTGTCACAACACCTCAGTGAAACATCAAATAAAGACAAATTTAAAAAGAAAGCTTAACATTTTTAACTTTCAGTTACACTTCAGGTTTAACTTTAGGTTTAACTTAAAGTGAAAAGCAAACCAAACCAACAGTAAGTCTGGTAACTCCGGTGAGCCATAGGTCAAAATGACTACGTAGGTTATCAATAAGCTCCACCCCAAGTGGAATTCTGAAGAACTGTCCAGAAAGTTGTCATATGTAAAAGCTGATGACTGACAATATGAAGATTAGAAGAAAGAAAACTGGGAGAAAAATTCACAATCTTTATAGACATTTGTCATTTAGTGTAAGGGCTAAGAGCCAAGACAGCATGTGTATTACAAGAATACAATAATTAAATATTGAGTAAATATTACATTAAATAATGTACATTATACTGCTTTTAGAAAGAGGTGGCATTATGTAATATGCTTTAGAAATATTTTAATCCAAATGAATAAAAACCACAACCTCTTTTGTTCCCTACAGTTATTTTATTCCTAAAGGAATCACATACTGTATATATTTTCAGCTTAAAAAAAAAAAAAAAACTATTGTAGATCCAGTATGGAGAATAGATTGGAGGAGAGCAACGATGGATGCTGAAAGAACAATTAAGTTGTTATTGTTATTGCATTAGCCTAGGTAAAAGAGAACACTGGCCTGGACTAAGATTGACAGAAAGTAGAGAAAAGCAACCAAAGGAAGTGGGCAAATTTGAGAGCTATTCGAGTAGGTGGAAGAGAATGGACTGGGTGTCTGATTGGACAGGGGTATAAGAGAAGAATAATCAAGATGATTTATGTGTATCTAGCTTGGACAGCTGTGTAGATGTTGCTTCTATTAAAATGAATTAACATCAGCCAGGAAAAGGATAGTTTTAGGGAGAAAGAAGATGAATGCAGTCTTGCACATACTGAGTTTGAGTATATACAACTTAAGATGAAATCCTCATTGGCAGTTTAATATAAATGTCACGAGCTAAGACAAGACACCTTTGATGTACATATAGATATGAAGTCATTTTAGATAGGAAGTAGGCCAAAAAAATTATGATGTCATGGATATCAAGCATTCTAAGAAGTTAGGTGTGTTACAGGTACTGAATACTACTCAGTAGTCAAATAAGATCAAGACGAAAATTTGTTTGGTTTAGTATAAAAGTTTGTTGGAGTCATTGGTGCCCCTAAAGTTGTTTTAGTTGTGGGAGAGCAAGACACACTACAGTGAACTAAGAGGGAAGGGGAGCTCAGGAACAATGTATGTAACTCTAAGCAATCTGCCCATGAGAATGAAGAAGGAATGTAGTTATCTGGAGAGGAAAGCACAGAGGTTGTCCGAAGACTAGTGGAGGAAATATGGAGGGGTTGTCAGAAGGCTGGGAAAGATGTAAGCATGTTTTAAAAAGCTGATGAGAAGGATACAACCAAAAGGAGTAAGTTAAAGATGCAAGAAAGAAAAGAGAGAGTTGATAATCTGTCTCTTTTCCTGAAAGGAAGAAGGAAATGAGATCTAGAGCATAACCCGAGAGACTCATAGAGGAGGACCAAACGCTATCAATTGTGCCTTGAGGGAAAGACAGCAGGCAAACAGGTTTACAGCATGCTGGCATCTGAAGCTCCCAATTTCTTTATGAAGTTGTAGTGGAATGGGTATAGGGTCATTGGTTTAATGGATAAAATAACGATTTGCTTACAGAAATTGGGAATTGATCAATAGTGCTGAAGGCCCAGTGAAATTTGGTGATCATAAAGTTTACAATGCTACTATCCTTTCTATTGTACACCTACAGAAAATTTCAGAGCTCCCATAAGAGATGATATATTCACAGTAAGACACTTATATTTCAGAAAACAGTTTTAACAACAGCCTGCCTAAAATAAACAATTACATGATTCTTGCATTGTTATCAATTAACTAAGCATAGTAAATTTTCCCCATTTGAAAAGGTACACATTTTAATCAAGATGTCATTTAAACGCAATCGAATTCGAGATTTTTAGTATCAACTCCCTCATATGACCACAACTATAAAATGCATTGATATAAAAGTATCTTTTAAAATACATAAAAATATAGCTGTATGTAGCTCTATTTGTGTGTATATATGTTGAATCCTTATTAATCTGATTAGAGGACCCTAACTGGGCTAGAGTCTTATACTAACACTGTGAAGAAAGGCTCTGCTAAATACATAAGGGCATTTTTGTTTGCTTAAAGGGCTAAATTTTAAGATTTTAGCAAGTCAGTTGTTATACATGTTTGCAAGCTAAAGTCTCAATTATTCATGGAAGGTTGGCTTTTCAGGATCTGCTTAGAAATGCTTCATTGCCAATTCAAGTTATTAGATAATACCTAAAATGTTAGCATTACATTTAAAATATTCTTTAAATTTTACCAACTTAGCATGGTTTCCCTAAGTTATGAAGCATTTACTCTAAGTTTATACCTAAAGTAATCTTGAATGATCACCAACAAATGCCTTTACAGTCCACAAAAAGGCGTAAGCATGCACAAATAACAGAATTTAAACATCAAAATAATATTAATGTTTCCATGAATAAACAAACTCAAGCACTTATAATTTTTTACAACAGTGGAATACAATCGTAGGCATTAAATCTACCAGTGGTCCCTAGATGATTCCCAATATTAGAGAAATGGCAGTAGTTCTTTAAAAATTCACTGAATTCAAATTTTCATTACTAAATATGAAATTATAAGAGTTTTTAAAAGGGCCCAACATATAAGCCTACTTATTATAAGCCAGAGTGATTTAAAAAGCTAAGACTAGTCACATTCCCCTTGATACTCAATTTTATGAACAACCATCCATTTATTTTACCCTTAGAAAACTCTCCTATATTTATCCAAAGTAAATATGTCAGGAATAAATGAATAATTAATATGATTACATGTTTATAGGTTTTTTAAAAATCAATTTCAAAGGTGAAAATCCAGTAATATCTTTTCTAATACAAAATTTTCTTAACAAAAACATTTAAGTAATACCCATAAAAATATTCCCCAGGGCTTTTTTCAATGTAATTAATGAGTTCAAATTTAAAGTCATCAATATAGATAAAACCTACTTTCTGTCAGATCCTCAATCTTTTCCCACACAGTAACAGCATTAGATATATGTCTTGTACTCATATCCTGAACTACCAATACTTAGGAATTCAAATTAATATTAAGTGGAAAAGGTGCTCTTTCGTGTAAAGTCACAGAATCTCACATCTCCTTATTAAGGTGAGTTAAAATACCCAAAGCATCAAATATAAAAACAACGTTCACTGCCCATTAACACTGCAGAAGTATCTAACACTTGTATGATTCTACTGCATAAAATTTGCTTGCTATACTAAAAACACAAAATGACAGAGTATAGTATTGTTATAGTGGTTTGGAGAGCCTTATAAAAGATCTTTTTGATTATTGTAATGCAACGCTGAATCTTCATGAAAAGCATAGCATCATTACATTTAGGAAGACTCGGATCTGTAATGTAATACAACAACTTAGCCTCACCTACATGGTGGTAAAGGCCCGTAATGACTAAGCCAGGTAGGCCATGGCTTATCAGATTTTTATTCATTTTATACCATAGTCATTCCCTTCCTCTTTGTTGTATATAAAGTGCTTTTCAGTTTACCAGTATACTACACTTTTAAAAAATAACTGTTCAAGACAAGTTACAATGATTCAGCAACTAAATCTCAAACCCAAGAGCAAGAAATGCAGCTGATTTTTTTCTAAAGCAACAAAATTTCACTCAAGAAAATCGTCCTGTCTGGCCAGAGAAAAAGAATTAGTTTAGTAATTCAATAAAACATGCGATGAAATTGATCATCTGAAAAATAAATAACCATATGAATCAGTTCCTAAATTCTGTAATTTTACTGTTATTTTTCAGTAGATGAAAAGCTTCTTATTTCATTTAATTTTAACAGGCTCATAATTTAGTTGACACATTTTAAGATACTATCCTTGTAAGCTTCCTTATCTTTAAAAATTTATTTACTATTACCTGCAAACAATAGGTAACAGAGCTTTGCCTCTGCTCTTCATTCTTTTTTACTAACGTATACTCCCACAGCTTGCATAAAACATTACAATATTTATGAAATTAATTATTGTAATAAGAGCACTATTTACAATTTACTATTTTATAGCCACCCTCTGCAACTTTCTATAAAGCTCTTTTTACCCTCTTTGTTTAAAATTTCAGGGTTTTATAGAGGGTGGGGGGTAGGGAAAAAGCATTCTGTAAGGGACACCAATTAAAAGTATTAGTAAAATAAAGAGACTAATCTTTCTTCAATATAGGGCAATATAAGATCCTAACTAATGTTAATTTAAAAAACAAAAGCTAAATCTCAGATTTGCAACAGTTCACACCCTGAAAATGTGGCCTATTTATCCTGAAAACATATAATCTATAAATAAATACAGATAAAATATAAAAATCACATTTAATATTCTGACTTTAAATCCTGAATTTTGCCAAACTGTCTCATTACCATTTTCATTTCAAAATCTATCTCGTTTTAGAAAAATAGCCTTCATCCATTGATATTCTAAAAATAGACTCCTACTGTCTTTTTTACAAGAAAGAATATCGCTTGGTTATGAGTCCTTACATATCAGCTACATCATCAATACCTAAAATTCTTATTTAATTCCATTTTTGGCAATCAAAATGGTAACTAAACATACAAAAAAAATCTTACCTATATGCTGCATTTTCTTTCAAATGCAAAGTGGTTAGATTCCCCTTCTACTTAATCAGTACAGGGTCTGGACATTTTTCAGTCTGACTTGCAAATATTTGCTGTCCCTCTTAGGGCATAGCATCCGCAGGGTTATACAGCACTACTTACATTCTCTTCCACATAAAAATCAGACATTACATGAAAGGAAAAGAAAGACAGCCCATTTCAAAGCATCTGGCAAACCTCCATTGGCAACCTGCCAAGCCTCTGCTAAACCTTCCTGTCTTTCCGAGCATGCTCACTTAAAACCAACAGCACGTTACTATGGCAACTCTGTAGGCAGCCTGTAAGTATGAACCGCCATTCTGATTTCAGAGTGTAAAAAAAACAAATACTGCAGGGGAAGTAAAAGGAAAGAAACAGCATATGCCCTTCATTACATACGAGTATACTCATTTCATTTCATAAATTCATATTCGTGTATTTAAAACAGAAACAAGCATCCCACATTTTTCCAGGGAAATATAGGTCCCCCTTTTCAGTAAATTCATTGTCTTTGTCTTGCCCCTAAGCCCTTTTACCCACAACAACCAAAAATATACTAGACAGTTTATCCTATTTGATACAACACTGCAGAATAGACAACAGTATTCATATAAGCAATCACACGGTCCTCCATGAAAGATTTCCTACAATTATATGCATATTTTAAATGACACGGCAATATTACAAAGAAAACCATTAGCACTTACAACATACAATCTAAATCTTTTCAATGATTTATCAAATTGCCAAATGAAATTTTCTTTGGGGTTTGGATAAGATTTTTTTTACCCTAACTATCCTTAAAATATTGTGAAATCTCTGAAAGAGGTTTTGAAGTTAACCAGGCCAGACCTGGGTGCAAATCCCTATTCTACCCATTTTAGTTGTGCCAGCTTGGAAAAGTTACTTAACTTTTCTGAACCTTCTTTTCCTTACCTTTAAAGTAGGGTATCAGTTACTTCATATGGTAATGAGTTAACACATGTAAAATACATCAAAATTACATTTCTTTCCTCATGGGTTGTTTTGGAAAAGACCCAGAAAAAAACAGTTTGCACTTGTTGATTAATTAACCTAAAAAGTATTTTCTAGTAACCTCTTACTAAAAATTAGTTCTGATTTACACACTATGCTGTAAGCCAAAAAGCTTTCTCAACACCCAAAGCAAGGAATGCTAGAAATGGACAGAAACAAATAACAGAGAATCTAAACAGAGGAAAAAATATATGAAGGTATTTTCACTAGAGAGTATTAAGATGTTTTTATTTGTTACAAACAAAGTACACCTACCACCTCTTCTTCTGCCTTTTTGGCCTCCTTTTCCTTCTCTTCATCATTTTCTTCAACTGGGCCATCTTCATCATCACTACTGGATGACTCAAGGATTTCACTTATATCCATTTTCCAATTATCAGGAACAACTCTAGTTTTTAAGAAGATGCCTGCTTTCTGAAGCCCTAAGAATGAAAATGTACTTCAGCAGTTGCTATGGAATTAGCAGCACGGAACAATAGAAAAGGCATGGCATTCAGAATCAAAAGACCTGAATTCAAATTCAGCTGTCATTTATAAAATGATACAGTAAGCCTGAACATATTTCATAAGTTATAATGTTATATGAACATTTGTTATTACTTTATGGAATACTGTGAAAAATCTTAATGATAAAATATGAAAAGTTAAACTTAGCTAATAATCACAAATCAAATATATCTAGACATTAAAAAAAAATCAAATAAGAGTATCAACTCTAAACAGTTAAAATGGCACCAAAGAATATCAGTCTGGCTTTACTTGCTACTTTCCATATAGAGCCACAACATAAAACAATAGCATAATTCATCTTATCTTACCTGGTTTAGTGGAGAGCTCAGATTCTGGTAGACTGAGAATATCTACTTCCTTAATGTCCTTTCTTGCTATAGAGTAACTAATTATAGATAAGAAGGGAGAACAACTTATTCAATAAAAATTATCACTTAAATAGTCCATGCTAACATACAGAAAAATAAAAACCTCAAAATCAAAATATTGCCTATCAAATGTTTTTATCTTAGTCCTTAATAAAAGGTAAGAAGAGGTAATACAGGCAAAGCTAGTTATCTTAATTCTAAAGTTTTATATACTCAATTTGGTACACTGATTATATAATCCTCCTACAGATAGTATGGGATAATTTATATCAGCACGATGTTTTCAACACTTGTAGACAACAATGGCTATTTTAATACTTCTGAAATTTATTTTTCATTTTAGTAAAAAAGTGCATTTACCAGATAGGAATACTGAAATGTTTTTATAGCTGTAAGACATATTATAGCATTAAATTTTTCACAGAGAACTATAACTCAAAAATTTTTAATTTCACTTTTTTAAATTATAAAGCAGAGATGAGTTTATGAAAGGGTTTCTAAAAGTCTGAATTTCAATCATGAAAAAAGTCAAAATAGTTGCTCCAGTAATATAGATTAAAAAATAAGCTTTGTAGTTAATAGTAAATGTCACATACTACACATGATAAAAATACAGGATTTTACAATTAAGGGAAAAAAAATCAATACCGCTAAAAAACAACCACCACCAAAAAACTGTTCTTTATCTTGTTCTCGCGTAATGTTGTTCACAGTTTTTATATAAAATTTATCAGTGAAAAATATCCTACATTACAAAAAGTCAAAACATATTAGGTCACAACTTCTCAGTTCATGAATGATTAGACTTTTAAAAATAAAGTTTTGGTGGGGGAGGGTTCTATCATTGTAATTCCGTTTTTTTTATTCCCATGTAACATCATTAAAGGATTCATTACTCACAATTTAGAATCAATAAATGATCGAACTAAACACTGATCCTTTTTCACGGTGATGTCATCATTACAGCTGGGAGACACTACCTGAAATATAAAGTAAGAACAGATTGATTCCTACTTCCTGTGCTCAGAAAAAGAATATTTTTCAAAAGAACAATTCTGAATCCCCAAACTTCTCAGATTATATCTTACAAAAAAAAAAGCTTCATTATAAATAGCTTCCATTATTAATGAATTACTTACAAAAAATGATATGCTTATATTTTGTTTAGCACATTGACTGTCTAGAAATTCAGTTTATCCATAGTCATTAGATTATAAAATGAATAATTAATGAAATACAGGTCCAGGCATAGTGACTCACGCATGTAATCCCAGCACTTTGGGAGGTCAAGGTGGGCAGATGGATTGAGCTCAAAAGTTTAAGACCAGCCTGGGCGGCATAGTGAGACTGTGTCTCTACCAAAAATACCAAAAATTAGCCTGGTGTGGTGGCGTGTGCCTACAGTCCCAGCTACTAGAAAGGTTGCGCTCAAGTGACCCCATGAGGTGGGGGCTGCAGTGAGCCAAGATCAAGCCACTGCACTCCAGCCTGGGTGACAGTGAGTCACCATCTCAAAAAAAAAAAAAAAAAAAAGTAAATCAAAATGTTACCAGCACTTTAAAAATATCAGGATTTATTCTAAGCTAAATAATACTTCATTTATTGTCCAAAAAACAAAATGAATAATCTGTGATGAAAATTTGGCATATAATTTTTAAAAATATACTTGAATAAAGATCTATTCTGAAATCTGGTCATTTTAAAAAAACCTATGTTAGCTTTTTTTCTTTTTAACCAAGATATGTACAATTCTTAGTAATTAAAACAAGTTAAAAAATCAACAAATAACTTAATTTCTTAACTTCTGAAAATAATATCTTAAAAGTATCATTAGTAAATCATCTCTGTATTCTTTATAGATTTTATATTTTTAAACAATTGATAAAATGTATGTTTGTGCTCTTCCCTAACACTAGTCTCTCTCTGCTACATTCCAGCACCATTCACAGACCTCTGTGCACTGACGGAAATGTTCTACATCTGCACTACCCAATACAGTAGCAGTGAGTCACATGGTTCTAAGCGCTTGAAATGTGGCTGGTACAACTGAGAGACTGAATTTTTAATTCTATTATATTTTAATTTAGTTACATTTAAACTTAAATGGCCACATAAGGTTCATGGTTATCATACTCAACAGCGTATATCCAGATAATTGAATAGCCTTGGCAGACACATACGCTGTCTTAACACTAGATGGAAGTAAATATTTTTTGTTTGTTTGCTAGGTGCTGGTAATTATTATTTTTTTTTTCTTGAGACCGAGTCTCACTCTGTCGCCAGGCTGGAGTGCAGTGGCACCATCTCAGCTCACTGCAACCTCCGCCTCCCAGATTCAAGGGATTCTCCTGCCTCAAGGCACCACCATGCCCTGATAATTTTTGTATTTTTAGTAGAGACGGGGTTTTACCATGTTGGCCAGGATGGTCTTGATCTCTGGACCTTGTGATCTATCTGCCTGCCTCAGTCTCCCAAAGTGCTGGGATTACAGGTGTGAGCCACCATACCTGGCCTACTGGTAATTATTAGACTAATACCATAGCTGTGCCAACCCTCAAGGAGCTAACAGCGTACTGAAGGAGCAAACATAAAAATATACACAAAAACAACACAATGGAGGATAAGTACAGTGATACCACTAGGCACATAATAATATGAAAACATGGAGGAGAAAGATTTCACCTAACCTGGGCAAGAAAAAGGTGTGGCAGGAAAAGCTTAAGGAAAATTTTAAAGGATGAGTAGGCACAACCCAAGGTCTAAATATCTCACCTATGAACTATTTAATGGCCTTCAAATAGATTCCTGCCACCTCCAATCTTTCCAGCAACATACCACTTCCTCATTCACATTCCTAAATATGTAGCTCAAATAACATCACTCCTCTGCAAAATTCTCTCCAGAATTATGTCCAAATTTTTAGATGAACTTTTAAAGACTCTTCTGCCCTAGATTCAAATTATGTTTGCTGGTATATTTCTTATTCCTCCCCTATTCACATGTAATATTTAGCCAAAATGAATTCCCAGAGCAAACAGTTCCATGAACAAACCCATTGCTATTTTTTTAACCTATTTTTTTTTTGTTTCCTCTAGTGAAGCTTTGCCTACTATCTTTAAACCCTTCAAAGCTCAGCTCAAAAGCACCTGCTTTGTGAAAGCTTTCTGTATTTTCCTCAAATAAATGTAATCTCTGGCTCAAGCCTGTAATCCCAGCACTTTGGGAGGCCGAGGCGGGTGGATCACGAGGTCAAGAGATCGAGACCATCCTGGTCAACACGGTGAAACCCCGTCTCTACTAAAAATA